AAAAAACCATTAAGATAAAATATATGTACGACAGCAATTCATTTTATTAAAAGAAAATTATTTAATATCAATATAAATGAAATAAACGAAGTATAATCTTCATACTGTTCTGCTCTATATATACAAACAAAAAAGAAAAGAAAAAACGAAACTACTCATTTACATATTACGTTCATTAGGTTCTTTATAATCCATTTGAAGATAATCAAAAATATCTTTCTCAGATGTCACTGGTAATGGTTTACTTAATACACCTGTTGATCCAACTTTTTGAATCGAATACTCATTCAATTTATAACCTTGTTCTTGTGCAACAATACGCATATGACGATTAAGTTGATCATTTCCAGTAAAATAAAGTAATGCACAATAATATTGTTCACTCGGAAATACTCTATCAAATAAATAGAAATCGATAAGATTTTTTTTTGTTAAAACTCAACTAAATATTTTACCGTATATCAATACGACGGTGTAATTTGCTTGCATCAATTTGACAAACACCCTTTTTAATAATAGAAAACGACTAAATAAATTGAAAAGATAAAGGAACATATTTATGCTTACCATAAATTTAGAATCACCAATAGAAATAGTATCAGTTATAAAATGAACTTTTTTTGTTAATGTGTCAACTATTTTATGAAGTAATGAAGATAATTTAGTTACTGTTGGATGTGTAACTAATACATCGATGTCTGAACTTGCCTTAGCACCTATTATTAATAATAAGCGTTTTTTTTTCTTTTAAACTTTAATTTAATAATTAAAATAAATATTTACCTCGTCGATAACTACCGACAATTTCTGATTTTAATTGATCATCAATTGCATTGATCTCTCGTAAAAGAATTGTCTAAAAAAATATTTTGATATTATTTTCATTTATTAAATAATTAATTATAAATTGACCTCCATTTGTTTCATTTCATCTCGAGGAATTTTTTGTTCGAATTCTTCAAGATATTTTAAACCAAGTTGTTGAGTTTTATTTAATAATTGATCACGTTTTGGATGTGATCGTAATTCATCAATAGATTTGATTCTATCCTGATGAACTAGTTTATTTGCATGGGCAGGACTAAATACAATAAAAAAAAACGTTTATAAGTGCAGTTTGCAATAAATTCAACTGAAAAACTCCTATATTCTCATCATTTATATTATGTCAGTGTAAAATATAGAATATAAAAATTTAAGGAGACATGCTTTATTTTGTGTCTTGTTGGCGCTCAATCTGGACACAGTCAATTAATTGTACAAAAATAAATATTGTAAGATATGCTCATTTTCAGCAGTTATGAACTCTGGGATGTTCAACTTGATTTTTGATCAAAGTAAAAAGATGATTAGATAACATTGTCATACTGATTACTTACATATTATCGTTGTATGACGACTGTTATACTCGAATACTCAATAAGTCATTAGAATTAACATCTGTCAGAAAAAAAAACGATTGTTCATATTGCTGAACTATTGCCTTTGTGTAACAAAGAAAGTATACTTGTCGATCTATGTCATCGGTTGTTAAAAATAATCTGTACGCGGTGACTGTTATGGGTGAAGAAACTGAGAGTAGGAAATAACTCAACAAAATATCGACTTAAACTTTCATGAATTGTTTTTTGTTGGAATCTCTTATGAGTTCAAAAAAATAAAAAACTCAATGAAACAGATAATTAAAAGAGAAATTGTTCTTACCCAATACCCATAATACGTGTCATTTGATTGATAGCTGCACCGGTTTCGTCACCTCGATTAGTTTCTAATTTTTTTATTTTTCCAGTAGATAAATATTGTTCAATTTTTGCTTCAATTTTTTTACCTATTCCTTCCTTTTAAAATACAACAAACAAGACTTATTTATTGTTTGAATTGCAAATATTCTTACCAATCCTTTAATATCTTTTATTGATTCAATTTTATGATCAATTTTAGCAATTGAACTAGCTGCTTTTCGATAAGCATTATATTTATGTATCAAACGTGAGACATTTTTTTCATAATCAGCTAATTCTAATTAGAATTCAACCAAAAAAGATGATAGAAAAACAAAAAAATAAATGAAAATTAAAATACCCTGAAGAAAATCGATTAATTCGGAATTTGGATTATCAGGAAGTTTACGTTTTGTTGACATCGTTTGAAGGAAAATGAATAAAAATAAATCGAATGGACATCTATAAATAATTAGTTTTTCATTTTTACTATTTCAAACATCAGATGCAATAACTATTTTGATGAGATATCAAATTTGGCCACTCACGAATCTTAGATTGAACTTAACACTTTTAGGATAGATGTCATTCATAGATGGTCACAGGGATCAATGTAAAGTGGCGGAAAAAAGTTTAAGAACAACATTGTTTCGTTTGATTCTGTCCGAAGACAAAAACTAAGAAGGTTCCAATAATCGATATACTTAGGTAGGATCTATAGTTGCCCAGTGCAGGCCTCGCAGCGTGTTTACTTTCCTGATTTTTTTAAGGTGGCCTGATTTTCCTGCTTTTGACTGAAAATCCTGATTTTGTCCTGATTTTTCAAGGTTTATCTCTGTAGGACCACATATACGTCATTTTTGTGTTTTATTTTGTTTTACTCAACGTTTCTTAAAAATTTTATGAAAATATTTGTTGAATATTTTCTATAAAGAGAAAGATGATGCTCAAATTTTTCTGTTGTTCATTTTTTTCTTGTAATCACTTTAAGTATCAATTCTTTCGAATTAATTGCTTTTTGAAAACAGCTATTTTATCATTAGTAATTATCATCAGTACTTTGGCGGTATTTATATCATACAGTTTACGACCGTGCGTAGCTGCATTAAATCTTGTATTCCCTTATTTCNTCAGCCTGTATATTTGCCTTTTCCTTTGAATATATGTTTTACCAAAAACAATTGAGTGTAATGAAGACAGCCTCATATCCAGATTCCCACAGGCTTGATCTTTTCACTATCACCAAAATTAGTTTTTAAAATTTTTCATCAATATATAATTACCTTTTGAAAAAAGTAATTATATATTCTGATAGAGCTTGAAATTCTCTATCATCCTATATATTTTCCCCTTGCCTTGCATTTATGTACTGAATGTGCTGAAAAATAATTCAAGTATTTCGTCAGTAATCTCCTGAAGAAACCAAAAAAACTGAATTCTTTTAGTAACATGTTCCTTTTCATTTCAGCTTTATTGTTAGTATAATAATAAATTTTGAAACAAGAAATTAGATATTCTGATAGAGCTTGATATTCTCTATCATTGTATACTTTTGAAACAAAATACGAGATATGTAGTAAAAAAGCTACGTCTTTTTAGAGCTTTGAAGGAGCATGTCGACGCAATACTCAAATTATTCTTCAGCACGTAAATGTAAAATGGTTAACAAATATACAGGATGATAGAGAATTTCAAGCTTTATAAGAATCTGTGATTGCTTTTTAAAAATAAATCTTTCCGTAAGAATAATAAATTTAAAAACAGAACTCCAGAACCAACGGAAAATGCACATTTTTGATACTTGCCATTTGACGGTGCGTTCACTGTACTCAAATTTTCTTTTCAATAGATGAATATAAGTAAATAAGTAAATATACAGGATGATAGAGAATTTCAAGCTCTATCAGAATATATAATTACTTTTTTCAAAAGGTAATTATATATTGATGAAAAATTTTAAAAACTAATTTTGGTGATAGTGACAAAATCAAGCCTGTAGGAATCTGGATATGAGGCTGTCTTCATTACACTCATTTTTTTTTGGTAAAACATATATTCAAACGAAAAGGCAAATATACAGGCTGATAGAAAACTCCACGCGCTTTCAGAATATATCATAATTTTAAAAAAAATATCTTATTATAGAAAAGATTTCCTTAAAATACTGAGTGCAGTTTCTTTTTTTCCGCGGGCATATATAGACAAGAGATCACAACGATAAAAATCGGAGCGAGCATAACTAAATTTGTTCTCAATATTTGACATATGACTAGAATTTATTATGATGAAACAGCTAATTGACAACAAATACATTGCTGTTTGAGTTTTGCTACGTAACATATATTTTACCTTGTTTGAAGCAAATATCAATCATTTGATGAACGAAGAGTTCACAACATTTCTCTTGATTACTGCCTTTTTGTGCCGACATAAAAGGTTTCAATAATTCGTCAATTTTTGTCATCATTACATGAAGTTTCGATTGATCATACTCAAAACAAGATGTCCATACTTCGATGAGTTTTTGATAGTCTCGTCGATCACAGTCATCGCTCATCGAGTAGTCAGCATTGGTCATAAAGCATAAAAACCATGTCAGATAAAAGTGAGAAGATTGAGAAGTGTCGTTTTCTAGCAATTCCAATAGAAAACGTTGGCGATCGAAGTCCCAAAGAAGTGACGAATGAGGCATAAAATTAAGAATTGTTCTCAAACTCTCGAGATGATCAGTAGTATCCCATAGATTGTATAAGTATTCATGAATTTTATATTTCAAATGAGTATTAGTTCGTATTTCTGAACGAATAATTTCTTCTAAATCGATAGTGCATTGATCGTTCATTATTGCTTGATGTTCCACGAATTCGAGTAAAAAAATGATACTTTTGAGATCAACTACAATAGACAAGAATAATTGTTTTGTTTTAGTAAACCAAATTAGTCACAAAACAATGATCTTCACACAGGACAGTAAATAATACAATATGACTTGTGAACGGCTTGTTTTTACAAAAGTGTTATATGCAATATCGTAGTCAGTGTGATCTACCTTGGTACTCAGACTACTAAATAGTTCTAGCTATACTACGTGATTCCTAAACGACAAATTTATGATGTTTCGTACTAATTCGATAATGGATATATGTAAAAATCTATACGCCATCAGTATTTTCGACCCAATTATTATATAGAGAACATCGTCCATTTCGGTATCAAAACCTTTTCTGTCGTGTACTGATAGTGTATTAAGAGACACAAATGGCTTGCTTCTTACTATTTTCATTTTGACTTACGTATAAAACGATTTGTTTTGACAAAATCTTGAATGAACTGGTCAACTTTTTCCTTTACATCGATGTTTTTTGACTTCGCAATAGTTGCAATTTTGATAAAATATTTCACATAGCTATCGATCGATGTTATCAATTCGAGATGTTCGAACTTAAGCTGATTTGGATTGGCTAAATCAAATAATTCGGTCCATGTTGAACCTTGAAGAGGATTATTGATTTCAACAAGTTGCTTGAGCATAATATTTATAATCTCTTGACGTTTTTCTTCTGCGGGCATGCGACGTAGCAAACTAATAGTTTCACCACTTGTATCCTTTGAGTTCGGAATGAAAGTTATTGTCAGCCACAGCTTCAAACATAAAAGTTTTGCAACACCATCTTCAAAGGAAACCATCTCAGTCTCGAACACAGAACCCATAATATCATTCCAACACTCGAAAATTTTATTCGTAATGAGTGGAAAAATTTTGGTTGAACTTAAGTAAATTGTATCAAGATTATTTTTGGTAAGAGGTAAAATTCCGATCATGCTAATTAATTGTTTAGCATCAATCGAATACCTTATCGGATTTTTTAAAATATATGGTAAATACTTGTTATTTGTTTGAAAGAAATCGTTGAGTTGACTTTTAGTGATGTTACTGCAGAACGGAGAAGCCAAAAATTGGGTGAAAATAAAATTGAAAGCATCGTCATTTTGACGTTGAATAAAAAAATAGGTAAATAAGCAGAGCTGATTCCAAAATGGTACATAGGATCCTAAACAAAATAGAAGTATGTGTATCTCGTTGAATTATAATTTTTCATTTTGTTATTCCTACCTGGGGCATCCATTCCTAATTGTTTTTCAAACTCAACGTCAAGCAATGCACAGTGCCAAACTGATGGAGAATACCATTCTACCGGACGTTTTTTGGAGTCCATGAAATGCATAGGTCTGTCCGTGAAATCCAAACCTCTGCTCATGAAATGTGAAGTTGTCTTTTCTCTGTATGAAATGCGCAATTGATACCACTTAACAGGTTTCGATATCTTTTCATGCCGAATAATCAATTCATCACGTTCGTTGCGTTTTAGATCATATTGTAGTGCATATATGTATGGACCAGTTTCCGATTTGTCATCGACTATTGTCTCAGGAGCAAAATTAAGCTTTAGATCGTTGCTAAATATGGCTTGGATTTTGAAATCGGTACTGTTTTTAGCATCACGCAGAATATATAGGTGAACTTTACAGTCCATTCTGATTCAGAATATCTATCAAACGAAAAACAAAAACAAATATTCTTTTACCTTACCTTACTCGAATTTCTTCGCATGAAGCAGAAAAAGAACATTAAAAAAGAAGGAGAACGATAAGGTTTTTAACAATAACATTACATGATTCATTTTTTCACTTTCTTCAGGGTGTCCAAAAAATCACACTACACTTCGAAAATCTTGAATTTCTCCGTCATCTTTTGACTAAATGGGCTGATTTTTTTATCACTGAAAGCGTGGATGTGAGTATGGGGTGTGAAGTGTGACTGTAACTATGGTTGTGAGTCTTCTCTGAGTTCATCACCACGCACATCCCATGAAAAATTGTGTAAAACATTTGATATTATTTGAGTATTTGTATTTATCTATCACTTTTGCATTTGGCTTCATGGACAATCATGTAACGATACGGTATGAGTGTGCTAAGAGTTACTACAGTGTTATGACGGTGCTACTTTCATACCATTAATTAGCGGGACGTTGTCATGGATTACAAATCTTAGAAATGGAAGCAGCTAAAACAAAATCTCTTGCACAGTTGTGCATGTGTTGATACGGTGTAGATGACGATGTATGAGTGCGTGAGGATCTGGATATGAGTAGATAGAAGAGTAAACGTATTGATGCGCACGTTAATGTGACTGTGTATATGAGTCTATGATAGTCTCTCGCGCACACATTCAGAGTCACCTACATCATCTTGTTCTCATTCTCTGCACTGAAATCATATATATTGGAAAATTCTTCGTCACTTCTTCCTTATGAAACATCGGTGTGCAACTGTTTATCTTTGAGAAACAACATGATAATGCTCTGAAGAGCGTGAGCAAATGATAAATAAGATACTGATAAGAAAGAAGAATTGCGCACACCGACATGCTGGCCATACTTACCTTGCAAAGACACGTTTAATTGTTTTTTTTTGACTCTCAATTTCAGATATTCTATTTCAATGGCTACAGTCAGACAAGTCTTTGTACCATGAAGGGTGTGTGTGTAGGTGCGGGTGTGAGTATGAAAAGAAGAATGATACCGATACTCATATCCACCCACGCTCACGCCCATATTCACACATACCCACATCCACACTTGCATCCTCAAAACTCACAACATGGTAAAAAAAAGTGTTGGATAATTTGAAGATGCTTCAGGAGAAAATTTCTTCCCAGTTAATCAAAAAAAAATTGGCAAAATCCTTTCATATATGTTGAAATCTTTCTTGAAGATCACAACAGATATAGCATGATGACATCTTGCTGAGAAGAGTTTAAACTATCGAGATAACGTAGTGAAGAGTTTTAGAATGCAATACATTTCCAGTACATCGTAAAAATTTTTGATTCGTGTCTCTCTGTTACACAATTCTTCTTCAACCACAACAATACGATATATTATATGACCCATTTATATCGCTCTAAATTTCGTTGCTATAAAAAAGTCTGCTAGCAACGTACTTTATCGTTCACTGAAAAGCGTTTATTAACAGAACGGATCAATCTGTTGAATGATTCTATAGTTCTATCGAATGAATATTGGTTTCGTTTCGTTTAGTACTTTATTTATCTTACCATAATGTATAACAAATACTCTTTATTATTTTAGATCCTTATTTGTTTCAAAGATACGATATTCTTATCTTCTCGCTATTATGGAACATCAATTTTTTATTCTAACAGAACAAATTTGTGTGAAAAAATATGACTATACAGCAAATAATTGAGATACGAAACTTGAAGATAATTAATTCTAGTACAATTACACATTTTCTTTTGAAAAATATAAATGAAATTCTATTTATAACAAGGCAAATATAGATAAAAATCTTTCCAAGAACCAAGAATGTCGAATTAAAGTTTAAACGTCTTATATTAGCACAATTTCGATGTGTTGCTTCACGTGTAAAGTTTTCTGTGACTTCTTCAATATATGAATAGGGAATTGTAAGATCAATAAGACGCGGTAAAAGCGTGTTGGTATCAACTAAAAGTTATTCTGCAATATCAATATTTCCAAAACATATGTCGAGATGAGGGAATACAATAACCGACGACATTTGATTATTCATTTTTGCTTCATGTAATGTTTTATAATTTCGTCGCTTATGGCTAAAAACAGTTAGATTAGTTAGAAATGGAAAAGAACGAGCAATTCGATCATAGATTTTATGCTCAAATGGACAAAAAATATTCGACAACGATATAGAACGAACATTTGTAAATAACCTCCAGGAAAGTTATTACTAATATCATGCATGACATTCATTTTGTATGGAAATGAATAGATGTGAGATCGAGCCATGCCATCTGGATATTGATCTAAGTAAAACTCAACTTGATGAAATTTTCCATTGAGAAATGTTAATCGAATGTCTTTATATAATTGATTGTTAACATAAGTACTGATGTTAGTACGAGTGATAATATTAAAGTTGAATGTTTGAAGTTGAGGCATATGATCTAGAATCTCATTGTTGAGAAGAATACCATCAACAAATGTAGATCGATTGGTAACAGTGAGACATAATGTAAGCTGTTCGAGATATATCATTCGACGAAGAAGTGGGACAACGTGACTATTATATTTTTTAGCTCGATTATATGAAGTTAGTGAAAAATATTTTAAATGCAATATATCCTTTAAAAAAAAGACTTCTTTAATTAATGTAAACAAATACTCTTACTGTATTATTGATAAACAAATTTACATTGGAAATCAAATCAATTCTCAAAATGAAGGTACGCAGTTGAATGAGACGTCCATTAAGAAGACATTGACCCCCAATCATTGAATGAGCTTACATTGATATGCAAATTCATAATAGTTGACAAAAAACAATTTTTTTTCAGATAAATCATTGAATGTTAATACTGGATGAAGCAATTTAGAGCTTTGGCCAAAACCCAAATCTCTCTGGGTCGTGAATAGAGCAAAAATACGTTGAAATATATTTATTCGTAAGTCGTTATATGATCTTGATTCAGTATCATCAATCAAGACAACAAGATGCATGATTTGTTTTTTGAAAATATGAGCAAAATGAGATGCATCTAAAAAATGTGTTTAAAGAATGAATATGTATCTTATTTGTAGGATATGTTTATAAAAAAAATATTTTCTGCCTGTCAAAACTCGCATTGCTACCTCTTGTGTGAGATTGATAAGTGTAAGCTTACATAATCGAGGATAATCACCAGCGTAAAGAATCCGTTCCATAGAAAATGATTCGAGAATAAGTTGTTCAACAATATAATGTATTTGAGGTAATATATCCAAACAAAATCGATCTAATATTTGATCAGATAATGAACAATTGTCTTCTTCTTCAAAATTTGTTTTTATCAATTCAATAGAACAAGTATAAATCTTATCGCGTATTAGTTTATCAAATCTTCTATTAACATTTAAAAATGAATAAAGTGCGTCAATTTTATTCAATTTATTCCAAATAATAAGAATTATTTCATCCGGTAGATTCATAATATTAACTATTGAACGATTCATATTTGTTTGGAATAAAATAATCGTTAATAAAATGAGCAAAGTATTGTTCAACTATTCATATATATATATATCCTGTCGACAAAATTGCAATATAGACAAATTGCGAATTCATCTAGGCATGATTGCAGTTCTATTTATGTCTAAGCAAAGTTGAAATATTAATTTTGACTAAAATTGTTTTTCAGACAGAATTGGAATTCCCGTATTTGTTTTCTGTAAATACAGCTCTCACCCTTACTCACAATGTTGTATGATATGTCTAACATACGAATTAGCAAGAATACTGTTTTTAAAGTGAATTAGGAACAGAATTCCAATCTTGCAAACAATATATAAATGGGAACACCTTAAGATGGCCAATCCGAATAATATAAGAATATTCTTTCAATATGAAAGCCATGTTTTATCGAAATAATATTTCAAATCGAATTCATTAACATTAGAAAACTATTATGAATAAAATTCTACCTTGAATAAAAACTTAACCTTTCATTGAAATAAAACTTTGCTAAAAACACACATTCTACGGAATATAAGAAAGACGCCAATCATCACAAAAATTCATTGATATATGATTGATGTTCACTTATAAATTCAATCAGATGGTTTTGTTTTTATTAATAGTATTGTTTGTCAAAAAATTGTTTTTAACAAAAATTACAAAACAAGTCAAAATATAGAAACAAAAAAAAGATATGAAAAAGTTAGTTTTAATAATAAATAAGATCAACTTTCTTTTGGAAATCGATTATATCCACCATTACTACCTCGATAATTGTTTGAATAGCCATCACTATTGTTAGTTCATCCGGGTTCATAAGACGATGTCAGTGGTGAAGTATCAATAGTAGCTGATGTTGATGAATAAAATGCATTATTAAATTGTCTTTTATTAGTAAATGATAGTGAAAAATTGAGGAAATAGAAAACGATGTTCCTGATTGAAAAGATAAGACACTAAAAGCGGTATTACTATTTATGGTAAAAGAAAAAAAATAATCAATCTTATTTTATTTTATTTCTTTCTTACTTATTCTATGATAGATATTGTTATTGATATGTGTTATTATCTTGTTTATTATACCTATTGCAAGAACGATTACATCCACCATAAACGAATCTTTGATAATATTCTTTATTTGATGGAAATAATTGATTAGGAAGATATTCAGATGAAGATTCACTAAAAGAATATCTCATTTATATTTTTATTTTATGACAATAATAAAAAGAATCAATCTCTGACTTAAAATTTGAATTTTCAGATTGTTTTCTATATCATATTTGGAAATTTTTTCACATAGAATATGTTCACGGTGTTGATCAGATAAGAGACGAATTAAATTACATAATTGTTCAACTGATTTGAGACGATTAATAGCATTATTTGGTTCTTGTGTACAGCGTATAATTAATGCCTGTATACCTGGTCGAAATAAAAAAATTCTTGATGCTATTTCAATATTTATATTTAACATAATCCTAAATAAATTCAGAATGAATATTTCATAAAAAATATAAATTCAAACCGCTTATTAAGACAAATACAATTTGATTTTAATAACATCAACTATGGAATGTCCATGACGTGCTTTTAAGCACAAATAAAAAGAACAACTAGATCTTGTTTGATCAGCTCGACGACATCTTTGTGTTAAATTTCTTTTTGATATTCAAATAATGACATAATTTGTCTTACTATTAAATAATAAAGATAATTTTGTTTTACTTTACATATTTATTTGTTTTTGCCTTGTTCAAACGGATATGCCGTCGATAGTCACGGCTATTTTGTGAATTCGTCGAATGATTGTGATCATATTCAGCAGAAAAATTACAGCATCGATTCGATTTTCAGTGATTTGATCGGCGTCTAGCAAAGATTGTACCAAAACTCTACAATCACAATCGATCATGATGCTAAATGACCACATGTTGTACGAAGCGAATTTTGTAAAAGCGTCTGTGATTACGTTTTTCAGATTGAGGCATACATCGGCATGTTTGTCGTTGTTGAAATGTGTAGTCACGCGAGATGTCAAATCATGCTATCTTTTACAATTTTAAGACTAACCTTTAAGCATAGTAAAACTCGCTCTGTGTACGTCATTATTCACCACAGTTTCATGTTGCAAATATCAAGTAAATGACAAAATCATGTCTTTTTCATCTTTGATTCGACTGAATGAATTCCACCAGTCATCTGTTGTAGTTTTGGGTCTATCACATACGTTGTAGCTGCTAGTATTAACTTTCTTTCTGATTGCCTACTGATGTAATGCAGCCAATACTTATCTATTGAATAAATGTCAAAATATTTCGTCGAAATAAAAGAAAACAAGTGTTTTTTATGCTCTTTTCGATGACCTACTGCTTTCTTTTCTTTTTATCGTTGACTGGACAGTGCAATTAGTCGCACACAATGTTTTCTTGTCAACAATAAGAATTACTTGTTAGTCAACAGGATTTGAACTAGTAAAGTCTTAATAGATCGATCTTGAGGCCTGCTTGTATCGGCACGTTCTTGATCTATTTTTGACTCGTACCTACTATTTTCATATCTGTACCCACGCTCGCTTGCATGCCGTAGAATGCATTTAACATTTTATTTGGCTGCTTGTCATTTCCTTGGTACTCTTCTAACTTTTCTTCTAGTGTTTCTTTGGGCGTTATGAAATTTTTGTTTCGTAGTTGCTTTGTTCATTTTTACTAATAATTCAGATAAACTTGGGTTTGGACAAGCAGTGAAAAAGCTGCGACAGACATATCTTTTCAACAAAAGCATTTTCAATTTATTCAGAAACTAATAACGACAGTATTACTAAAGCATTGTACTCTGTAAAAAAAAAACATTCCGTTCTATCTGGAACGAAACAGTTTCGAGTATGTTGTACTTTGCCGAAACCCTATCGCTTGAGAGAAAAACATCCTTATCGGAGTCTCCGAAATGTTTCATCGATAGCTCTTTTCTCACCAGAAGTAGGGTTTCGATAAAGTGTAACATACCTAGGACCACTTTGTTCCGAAACGAAGGAATTTTTTTCTTTTACAGAGCAGAACAAATGATTCTTATAAGAATGAGAAATTGATTGAAAATTTTACTCAAATGAAACCCGTATCAATGTAATAATGTTCATGAAAATAATTCTGTATTATTCAAATCCAAATAATAATTGCGATTACCAGAGGGTGAGACATTATCATTGTTTAGTATCAATGCTGTATTCTTCACTTGTGTAGTATTCCTGTTGTTAGCGTCTGTACAAAGTTCTATTGATGGATTATAGAGCTCTGCACTATTCAAATCAGAAAAAGAGTTCTTTCCACCAACTACTAAAACATTTTCATTTGTTAATACAGATGCAGTGTGTGACGTACGTTCAGTATTTAAACTTATGAGTTTTGTCCATAATCCTGTTGATGGATCGTATAATTCTGCACTAGAAAGGAGAACATTACCCCATCCACCAACAACTAACACTTTTCCATTTGTTAATACAGATGCAGTGTGAGAACTTCGTGCATCATTCATATTGCCAGTTTTTGTCCATGATTCTGTTGATGGATCGTATAATTCTGCACTATGCAATATATTACTGGGCCCCGCTCCACCAGCAACTAACACTTTTCCATCTTTTAATACAGATGCAGTGTGCCAAATTCGTATATCGTTCATACTGCTGGCCTGTGTCCATAACCCTGCTGATGAATCGTATAATTCTGCACTCGCTAAATAATCCAAACCATTTTGTCCACCAGCAACCAGCACTTTTCCATTTGTTAATACAGATGCAGTATGCTGTAGCCGCCCGTGATTCATGCTACCAGTATTCATCCATAACCTCGATGATGGATCATATAATTCACAAGTTACACTAGAGTTTTTATTTGCCCCACCAGTAACTAAGACTTTCCCATTTGCTAATATGGATGCAGTATGAAGCCATCGTTCCACACTCATGTTTCCAGCATTTGTCCATGTTCCTGTTGATGGATCGTACAACTCTGCACTTGCTAAGTCCTCGAAACCATATTGTCCACCAACAACTAGCACTTTTCCATCTGTTACTACGGAAGTTGTGTGAAAGATTCGCGAAATAATCATATTGCCAGTATTCGTCCATACTCCTGTGGATGGATCATACAGTTCTGAATTACTAAAGTCTGAACCGCTTGTCGAAGCTCCACCATTAATTAAAACCATTCCATTTGTTAAGATGGATGCAGTGTGATCATATCGTGAAATACTCATGTTGCCTGTGTAAAACGAACCTGGAAAGAAGTATCAATTCGTGAGTTATGTAATCTTCACGTGGGATCTATGCATGATTCTCATCAGAAAAAGATCGATCTATATGTTGCTGCACAATCCTACTCGAATTGAAGACGATATTGATTCATACTTTTCCTATTCAAACGAATAAACTGTGAAAGAAAAACAATGTGCGAACAACAACAGAGATCTTGCACAGATATGGAATTAGCAGCATTGATGCACTTTTCTATATCTAAAACAAAGCACTTATGCAAATATCTTTGCTCATATATAGAGAAAATCTCGATTTTGAAGCTAACAGTGGTCTTATGACATTGAATTTCGACTTGAAAATTATCTTATCAGAAATCCAGTAAAAAAAAAACAAATCTATCTCTTGCAAAATACCGCAGTCAATTGTAGAACGGAAAAACACCCGTTACAATAGTGGTAGTCGAAAAATACGACAACTTGCTATCATTTCAACGCGTTTTCCCAGTATGTTCAAGCGCTTCAGCAAGTTCCTGTCTCCAAGATTAAATGTTAGTATCATTTAAGGGCCCAACCTTCGTCTCGAATGTCCATCATCAGTTTTCTATAGACCAATGAAGCCCATACGGGTTTTGGAAATAGAAAGTCGGCCTAATTTAGAAAATAAATTTTTTGTCAAATCAAAGTTTCCCGACAACACAGTAATAAAGGAGTAGGAAAAGCGAAGGTATCGCCAAAAATGCATCTATTCCGACAAATTCTGTCGAATTTTTTTTGTAGCAGTCTCACTCGATAAAGAAAATGAAAAATGAGGAGATTATAATACCACTTTTTTACTTTTGCTCCAGAGTCTAGATATGGATTATTTTTCAATGTACTCAAGTGCAATGTGTTTCTCAATCGATTAATAAGTAAAGTGAACTTTTTTGTTGTGAGCTCATATCTCGACAACAACGTCAATCATCATAGCTCGGTTTCATTCATATTGTAGTCATTAGCATATAACATATGTATGTACACAACAGTTGGAGTCAAACCATCCTTCTCCTCTACGGTTATTGAACAAATAATTAGAGGATGACTTTTTCTATGGCTCCTAAATTGATCAACATTGTGTGTTTATGATAGTCTGTAAAACTATTTGAACTTGGAATTCTCTTTATAGCGCAACATTGATAAGATCAAATATTTCTCTGCACACTAAACCAATTTTCATTTCAGTCAACTTTTGAAAAATTATCGCTCATGCATAATTAACAGAAGATACTAGGAGTAGTTAATAAAACGATATACATATGTTTTATTATAGGTTTCGATTGATTCTTGATTTTCAAGACGCTATTTGAAAGAGCGTGAAAACCATATCGAAAACAGTTTCTTTTTCTTTAATTATTTTATCATCGGAAGTAGAGCTACCATATTCTTATAGACATATTAACTTGTAGTAATCTTCTACAAGATTTATTGTGTTCTTTCTATTGCATAAGTCAGCTTGTGACTGAATAGAGAATGCTTTTCTATATAAAGTGGTTATGTTTCAAATTGAGATGATAATATCTTTTCTCCTGAACATGACATCATTATTTTATGAATGAGTCAGAAACGAAAATTACATGATACTAATATGAAGAGANATCCTGCTCATCTTCGAACTCGACCGAGACATTGTTAAGACTGAACTGTGTAGAAAATTTCATCACGATCCGACTCTCCTTTCGAAAGTTATCGGATAAACGGACGGACGGCCGGCCGGCCAGACGGACACACTGACCGATTTTAGTAGTGTACTCACTTTTTGAGTACACAACAATATGACTTATGGAATTTTTTTCGAAAAACATAGAAATATAAGTAAGATTGTTAGCAAAGTCATAAATTGTGAAAAAAAAATTGACTTGGTCAAACAATGCATCTTTTACAAATGAAGTTGGAACAGATAAGAAACAAAGCACATGAAATGAACGAGTAGGATAAAATAAAAAGGTGGCTGTTCTTGTGCACCAATATGAATATCAGTAACCAATATACTATTTATCCGTTCGAATCTGTACAACTGTCTAGGTGATACAATTTAGTAAACACTATTTGTATAACGGCATGAGAAAAAGTATGAATAATAATGTGAGCTTCATATAACTGTTTTTAGTTTATATAACAAATTATACTCTTAATTATCAATAGTGAGATATGGAAAGCTTCATATTTTTGCTCTCTGCTTTCCAAACACTATAAAAAGTATCCTTCGCTTCTTCTTGTTTACAGCAAGGATGTTGGTGTGATTTTGCATAATTATGGATCTTTATGTGCGAATGCCTGTGCTTGTGGGGGTACATGTAAATTTGAGTCTGAACCTTAAGCAGATCTGCAGTCACACCTCTACTTCGACATACACGAACGCTTGGTTCTGCATCGACATTCGCATCTATGTCACCATTCATTGATCGTTTGATATTTACATTGGTTGAGAAAGTTATTGGCTGTCATTGTAAACTCGAAATTTCAGCTTTCTAATGGTGTTATTGCTTCAATTATTCAATTTACAAGCGAATGGATCGTATTTTTGAATATATCGTACTTTGATTTTCACCAAAAGCCACTTACGGATATATAAGTTGCACAATAAAGTCTTACTTCTTGCGTATTTAGCATAAATCTATAGTACTTGGATATCTAAGCCGGGAGAAACACATGCAATCAATAAAATGTTTTGTAACTCCAAGCTAAATTAAAAAGATATGTATTTAATTGATCACTATTTTATAATGAATGATCAGCATGTTTTTTACCAGTAATAAATTATATTTAGCACTGTTAATAATTCAGAAGCTCAGTATTTTACTTTTTTTTAGTTCAGGTTTTTCTTAACTTATTTCAGTAAGAACCGTATAGTTACAAGTAACAGAAAAATATTGATTCAGTGATGCATTTTTGACTTTCAATGATCTATCGCGACGTCTTTTTCACGAATTTTAACATCTTTAGTAGTACCCTAGAAGAATTTTTGGCCGAGGCGCTATCCTTTTGGAGTTATGGCCGTTACAATGCATTTTTTACACTTGGCACAATATTTATCAAAACGAATTCGACAAAGGAATTGTGGCCTAAAACTTTATCTATAAACAGCTCTTGAACTCATTAGAATCTTCTTTAAGTTTCAGCCAAAAAACCGTAAAGCCATCGACACGTTAGAAGACCCCCCTATAATACAGGACCCCCCCATAATAGAAGACCCCCCTTGAATAAACGACGCAAAAGACAGATTAGAAGACCCCCCTATGATCCTTGATGTTTTAATTTTTTTTCCATGTTTATACTTTTGTTTCTAGATGAGTATTTCTGAGTTTCGCCTCAAAAGTATTTTTCTGCTCTTTGTACAGTTCCAGGCGATCTGTACTTGAACAATATAAACTGTAATTAACGGATTCAGTTATACGAAATGTTAAAATTAATATCTGCTGTGATCAAGTTCAGTTATTTCTGTTTTACATCGTTCCCTTTTCATAGACAATGAACTACATGATTCTTTTAATAGCTAAATAATGATAAGCTATCTCTTATGTAAAATAATTCAATCACAAAGTCCTTTCTACTGTCATTAAGTATCAATCATAATCCACTTGATCAAAAATCCGATTCAGAAAATGATAAATAAATTACAAGTGTAATAATGAAAACTCGAAAATAAGCAGTTGACCTTGAATTGAAACCCTTAATCACGTACAAAAGGCCTCCAATACTTGGTAAAAGAAATATGGGCCGTTCTATCATTTTTTTTGTATTTAATGTATAATCCAGAAGAACTGCAATCCTTTATAACCAAAATTTCAAAATAGAACAGATGCGGACCCAGGCGTGAACTCGGACTTTTTCTGTTAAAATATGTTGACTATAAAAAAATTGGAACTCTTCTCTAAATACATAGACTAAAAAAAGTGAAAACTTTTCCACATAAGATACACGTTTGAGTAATACATTAGTACAAAATAATAGCATTTGATGAGTAAGTTCTTTTATCCCTTGAAAAATGTTCCTAATGTGAAATATCAATTAATAGCATTTTATATGATTCAGTACATTCTATAATAAAGATACTCTTTTTGCGAAATCTTCTTTTGTAATATAACGTACACTGTTTTTGTTAACTGTTCTCGCGTAGAGAAATGAAATAAAAGTTTTTAGCAATACAACTAACATAAAAAAGACTTATAGAGATAATGTCGTTGAGGGAAACAAAAAAAGCTGATATTTTTAGGGACATTATAGAAGACCCCCCTTATAACTTGTTAACGATAAGACAGAATAGACGACCCGGGGTCTTCTAACGTGTCGATGGCTTTATAAACTTTTCATTTATTTATCATATATTACATTGTTTCCAATGTTGAATTCATTAATCATTATTTTTTCTCTTGAAAAACATCCATGGTAAATATTTTTTTGTAGCACAATGAAGAAAAGTCGAATGATGATAATAATTAGTTTACGATCAACGTATAACTTTAATATTAAGCAAGTTCATTTCACTTGAATTATATGAATGGAATTTATAGATTTTTTTTTTCAAATGAACGTGTCTTTCTCTTTTTTCTTCTATTTATTTTCACTACTATATTAAATTACCTACTTCATATGATGAAGTTGTTCCCACCACGAGGAACTACATAGAGTTACGAAGAAAAGAAAATTGAAAAGTTGTAACGATAAGCATGAGTAATGCTATTAAAGGAACCTATCAGAACTTTTTGCGATTTCTCCCAATAATAAACTAGACAGAATTATTTTACTGTGTTTATTTCTTACGGATTGGTGTGAGAATGAATAGAACCATCACCCGTATATAAATCAAATAGTTTTTGACTAATAATTGTTTAGAATTGAACGATGATTGGAGTGGCTTTGAGTTTGTCTCACTGGTATCGATTTACATCGAAATCTTTTAAAACTAAGCAAGTCTTAAAAGTGCCGTTGAAAAATTCTAGCTGCATCAAAGAAAAAAGACAAAACAGAATTAAACACCTTCCATTGCTCATGTAGACATTGGAAAAAAATTATAATAAATTCCATTACAACTTACGATGTTATCTATAAATACATTAACACACAATCTGTTCATCAGTTGATTAATTAAAGAAATAATATTGATAAAACAACATAAATTTGTTTCCCTAATTCTAGGTTTATCATCAAACAAATATTATTTTATATCAAAATACGTCATACATTTTTCAAAATCTTACTTGAAAAAAAGATTTATATCACTGTTCATGATTTCATTTTAAATTGATTATTTATCTACCACTGTTCTACATCATAAAATGTTATGATACTCATTGAATAGTTGTATTATGCAATGAAAAATCACTTAAAGTTATTTCTTTTTATCTTTACATATAACTTGTTTGAGCACCGTTTATTGAAAATTTTTAGTTTAAGATACCGAGAGTTCTATCCATTATAGGATAATCTGTTGAAATGAATTCTTAAGTCAAGTCTACAATATATAAATATTCCATCACTGATATTAAATAAGGGGATCATCGATTAATAGAAGTACTCGCCGTTTTTTATCAACAACTACTTCAATCAAACAGGAACAAACGTTTTTATTTATAGCTTAGTATAAACTGTTAACAAGTCAACAGGTCTTAATGACATTCAGAAAAAAAATAATCTGAATTTTATAGATAATCCTTACTACATTCATTTCTCACTGGATTATAACTAGATAATGTATCACACAAGATATCTATTTAATTTCATTTTGTTCAATTTGACTCGCGAAATTATATCTTATTGTATGAATGATGAACAGCTATTGAAATATCATATTGGCAATAATAATGGCTTTTCAAAGTTTACTTTTGCTGAACTTGCAAAACAAAATATTACTAGTCAACAATTATACCATTGGTCAGCACCAATAGATGTTGCTGAACATTATCAATTTTATTTAAATCAATTCTCAACATCAAATGACATATTTCTGGAAACTCGAGTATTCTATAATTGTACATTACCAAGATTTGGTCTTATGTGTCGATATGAAATTACTTATTATCATCAAAATTATTCATCTTTATATGAAATTATTCATGATTATTATAGTACATATGCATATAATCCTACTAATTTCACCTGTTATACTCATTTAAAATGTAACCGTGGTCCTTTTCCAGCATGTTTAGATTGGAGTGAAATTTGTAATGGACAAGTAGATTGTCTTGATGGTGAATTCGATGAAGAACACTGTTGGCAACTTGAAATAAATGAATGTAATGATAATGAATATCGATGTATTAATGGACAATGTATACCACAGTTATTTTATCGAGATGATATTAACACTCCTGATTGTCTGGATGGTTCTGATGAAGCCCAAATGCGCTTTCATCAACTTGAAAAATGTAATACGAATACACCATCATTTGAATGTGAAGAAAAGATATGTCACCATACATTCGTAACAAATTCTTGTATAAAACAACGTGAAAGCTTACTTTTCAAAGCAATCTATTCTGTGAAAGACGATTCAATATCTGAACAATGTTGGTCAGCTTTGAAATGTCTTTTACAAGTTCCAGGTTCAGAAGAGCCATTTTGTACTGAAATTTTTGAAAAATCAGTATGTGTAGAGATTATTAACAATACATGTCCAGATATGTTTTACATTCCGAGTATTCCTCTTCTTTTTGGTCATATTTACCTCGCACATACAAAAATGATTCGTTATCTTTAGCTCATTGCGGTTCTGTACAACTATACGCATGCTATAGCAACTCTTATTATAATGGGTATTCAATTGATGTTCCAAGATTTTTATTCAAAAATAAAACATGTTTCTATCCTGATCTAGAATACACTGCAATGATTTGTTCTACAGCATGGGAACATAGATATCAACTAACGAGGGAACATATTTAGGTGTTCAAGTCCTTTAAGCTCCATCTTTTGGCGACAGATAGACCTCGATGAGGTATGAAAAACCTCAAAAGGATTCGTGCCCTCGTGCCTTTATACCCGAGATATCGAATTCTCAAGATACATAGAAAACGAGAGAGTGAAATGGAAAATTATGCTTTTTTGAGAATAGTAGAGTATTACGGTAAAAAATTTCTCAGGTTCACGCACTGCTCCTGCAACCTACTCGGAATTAGGAGTTAGATCAAATTTTATCAGTAACACATCTACTCGTTGTTCATCAACTCATAGAGTGTTCAAAATTCTTCATCTTATCGTTGATATCGTTATAAACTACAGAAATCTCACGAAAGTCAGTGAAAGTGATAGTTTAGAAAAAAAATGATTAAAACATAGTGCTTTGTGGCACCAGCTGCAGCAGATGAAAGGAGCCATATCACATGGAGACGCGGTGCATATTGTAGTGTCAAACGAGAAACACACTTCAGCTACAGTTTTGAAGAACTCCGGATGATTATCTGTGTAACCACTGGCGTACCATGCGTATTGGATCATTCCACAAAAAACTTTAGAAGACAGTTGATTATGATTGAGAGACGTGAGACGAATGATATTATTACGTTCGCTCATGTTAATGTCAAGCTCATCAAGCAGCACACGATCATATAGCCGACGAGGAATTACTTTCATTTGCCTGTTGAAAAAGACATCCAATGGCTGAATTTGATCCGTCGTTTCGGGTGTGGGGGGTGTGGGTGTGTGGTG